CCCAGGGGTCGCGGGGGGCCAGGGTCACCGGGGGTCGAGGGCGCTGGGGTCAGGGTCACCAGGGATCAGGGTCGCTGGGGTCGGAGTCTCAGGGGCCAGGGTTCCCGGAGGTCGGGGTCGCCGGGGGTCGGCGTCTCGGTGGACTGGGTTCGTGAGACATCGGGGTCACGGGGGTCGAAGTCAGCGGGGGTCGGGTCGCAAGGGTCCGGGATCACCCAAGGTCGGGATCGCTGGGGTCGGGGTCGCAGGGGCCAGGGTTCCCGGAGGTCGGGGTCGCCGGGGGTCGGGGTCTCGGGGGATTGGGTTCATGGGGGACAGGGGTCGCGGGGGGTCGGAATCACCGGGGATCGGGGTTACCGGTGGTTGGGGTTGCGGGGGGGCCAGGGTTACGGGAGATCGGGGTCGCGGGGGGTCGGAGTCACCGAGGGTCTGGGTCGCGGGGGTCCGGGATCACCAGAAGTCGGGGTCACGAGGAGTCGGGGAATGGGGCGTCTCCGCGATGTGGGCCCGGGCCTGAGCGGGCCGACCCCGATCTCGGAGGACGGCTGCTGGGCGGCCCCGAGTCCGCGCTTTGGCGATACCTCCGAGAGCCAGTCCTCATGGGGTGATCAATTAGGTTAGAAAGCACATGTGACCTGCCGATGCCCGCGGTAAGGGGCTGGGCCGGGGTCGCCCAGGGGCCTTGGTTCTGAAGGACGGGCGGGACACAGGGACTTGTGTCCTTCCATCCGGACGGCGCCCTCAGGCCCCTTCCCGGAGTCCCCGCGTCCTGTCCTCCGTGCACCCGAGCACGGGACGGCTGGGGGGTCCCCGGACGGCTGGGAGTCCCTGGACAGTTGGGGGGTTCCCAGCAGAAGTTCTCGGGGCTGGGGATGGCCGACCAATCTGTTCCCTGATAAGGAAATGGGAACAACAGTTGGTTTTGTTGCGTATGTTAGTGCTTGAGAAAAGATAGGTTTAACCTGCAGAATGAAGAGGCGGGTGGTATTTTACAGGAGTTGATGGCCCCACATCTTTGTTACCTCCAATCACTATTTCTCTGTAGGCTTGGATGTTACAAGAGCCAGAGAAGCCCTGGGCGGGCAGGGGGCACTTCTGCCTGCAGGACCTCCTCCGGGCTTCACATCCTGCCAAGTGGGGGTCAGCTTGTAACTCCAGGATTCCATTTCTGTTGTTTGTGCTGGTGGCTTACCCTTTGCAGTCTCCCTACCCACAACTGGCATAAGGTCCAGTGCATGGGAACAGGAAATATGTGTCTAGACGACCCGTGAAAAGTGTTCAGAGGAGCCAGCAAGTGTGGCCCAGGAGGTGTGTGAGGGAGGGTGACACCTGCACAGACCCGTCTCCTCACCTGCCCAGGAAGGAGCAGCCACCTGTCTGTAGAGCCCCTCAGGTCTCTCATCCTGTTCAGTCCATGGGCTCAGGCACTTGGTTCACGTTGCCATCCAACTTTCCAAAAGGTCTTTCTTGGTTTGTTCACTGCCAGTGCGAGTGCCCGGTTTTATCACTGTCTTTGCAGCATTGGGTGTTATTTACTGGGGGAGAAGAGAAGGGCAATTTCATAGGCACTTTTTTCCAACTCAGTGTTAATTAGTGAGGTTGAACATTTTCCCATTTCTGTCACCAAATAAACTTTCCTTTTCCTTTTTTTTTTTTTTTTTTTTTTTGGTGAGGAGATCAGCCCTGTGCTAACATCTGCCAATCCTCCTCTTTTTTTTTTTTTTTTTTTTTGCTGAGGAAGACTGGCCCTGGGCTAACATCCGTGCCCATTTTCCTCCACTTTATATGGGACGCCGCCACAGCATGGCTTGCCAAGTGGTGCGTCGGTTCTGCGCTTGGGATCCGTACTGGCGAACCCCGGGCTGCCGCAGCAGAGTGCACGCACTTAACCGCTTGTGCCACTGTGCCGGCCCCTAAACTTTCCTTTTTCATTCAGTATTTCAACAAATAGGTGTTGAGAGCTCACACTGGAGATGTGTGTGTCAGTGAACAGTTGCGTGTGTGTGGCTTCTGCTGGGTCCTTCACCCGTTTCTTGGCGTCTCAGCGTCTCTGCTCACCGCCCTGGGAGTCCTTTACCCACGAACACTCTGTTATTCTGCTCCAACACTTCTTCTCTAAAAACTTTCCAATGCAGACGTTATCTTTTCAAATTAGATTCTTGCTGTCAGGAACTTGAATGAACTTGGATGGAGTTGGAATTTCATCCTTTTAAAACAGTAACATACCAAACAAAGTTGAATTAAATGTGAGATAAATTTTAAAAGCTGGTTTTAATATTTAATATGATTATTTTATGAACTCGTTTACTGCTTAGTCACCAAATTAGTCTTGGCAAGTGTATTTTAACAGCTTCTAGATATGTGTAATAGACGATTTTTAAAAACATTTGCCTTTTGTGGTTTTGATTGGTTTATCCTTTTTTTAATTTGCTGTTTGTTTTCAAATAAGTGTAGACTGACTCACAGAAAGTTGTAAAAATAGTACAGAGAAACCCCTGCACCGTTCCCCTGGATCTTACATGTCAATAATACAATAATATGAAAACCAGGAAATTGGCGTTGGAAAAATACCATTCGCTACCCTACACTCCTCATTCAGATTCCACCAGTTTTTACATGCGTGTGATTCTGTGCAGCTTACCCCATGTGTACATTTGTGTGACCACCCCCACAGTCGAGGCTCAGAACTGTTCCATCACACCAAGGAGCTCCCCGAAGCCCATTTAGACTCCCAGGCAACCGCTGATCTGTTCTCCACCTCTCTGTGATTTTGTCATTTCGAGAATGTTGTGTAAATGGGATCATTCAGTGTTTGACCACTGGAGATTGGCTTTTTTCACTCAGCCCCTGAGATCCATCCAAACTGTCCTGGGTACCAGTGGTCCTTCCCTTTTATTGCTGAGTCCTGTTTTATTGTTTGCACATACTGCCGTCTGTTTAACCCTTCACCCGCTGGAAGACACTGGGCTGTCTGCAGGTTTTGGCTATTGCAAATAAAGCTGCTGTGAACATTCATGAGCACGTTTTTATGTGAGCGCAAGTTTTTATTTCTCTGGGATAAATGCCAAGCTGCAGTTGCTGGGTTGTATATTTAGTTTTTATAAGACGCTGCCAAGCTGTTTCCCAGAATACCTACCTTTCATGTTCCCACAGCAAGGTGTGAGTGGTGGTTTCTCTGCACCCTCTCTAGCCTGTAGTCGTTTAGCAGTCTGGTGGATGTGGAGTGGTATCCCGTTGTGGTGTGCATTTGCCTTTCCCAGTGGCTGATGTTGGGGAACGTCGTTTCACGTGCTTACGTACCCTGGTGACCTCCTCTTTAGTCTGTTCATCTCTTTTGGTTTACTGTTGGTTTTGAGAATTCCTTATATATTCTAGATACACATCCTCTGTTGGATACCTATTTGCAAATGTTTTCTCCCAATCTGCAGCTTGTTTTTTTATCATCTTAACAAGGTCTTCCACAGAGCAAGTTCCTAATTTTAATGAAGTCCAGTTTACCAATTTTTTTACCTTTTATGGACTGTGCTTTTTATGTCATGTATAAACAGTTCTCTTTAGCCCCAGGTCCCAAAAACTTTCTCCTGTGTTTTCTTATGAAAGTCTTGTAGTTTACGTTTTACACTTAATGTGACCCACTTTGTCCATTTTGAGGTAATTGTTGAAGGTGTGGAGTTGGGCTGAGGCTCACTGTTTGTCCTGTGGGTGTCTCATCCCTCCAGCTCCTCCACTGGATTGCTTGTGCGTCTTTGTCAACATCAGTTGAGTGTGCTTGTGTGGTTCTGTTTCTGGGTTCTCTGTTCTGTTCCATTGATCCATTCGTCCATCTTCTGCCAAATGCAACACGGTCCTGATTATGATAGAGCAAGTCTTCAGTCAAAGTGATTCTTCTGCCTTGAGTCTTGTTTCTCAAAATTGTTTTAGCTCTTCTAGTACCTTTGCCTTTCCATATAAACTTTAGAATAAGATTGTCTATATCTACAAAAAGATCTTTCTGGGATTTGTATAGAAATTGAGTTAAACCTATACATCAATTTTGGGAGAACTGACATCTTTACTGTGTTGAAGCTTCTAGTCCATGAGCCCGGGTATGTCTCGCCATTTATGTAGATCTTCTTTGGTTTCTTTCATCAGTGTTTTATTATTTTAAGCATACAAGTCCTCTACATGTTTTGTTAGATTTATAGCTGAGTATTTTTAAGTGATTGTAAATGACATTGTGTTTTTAATTCAGTCTGCATCTTTTTTGCCTTATTGCACTGCCTGGGACCTCCAGTGCTCTGCTGAGTAAGAGTGGTGAGAGCAGATATCTTGCCTTGTTCCCAGTCTTCAGGTAAAGGCATTCATTTTTCCACCAGTAAGTATGATGTTAGCTGTAGGTTTTTGTAGATGCTCTTTATCAAGTTGAGAAAGTTCCACTCTATTCCTCATTGCTGAGAATTTTTATCATGAATGGGTATTGAATTTCGTCAAATACATTTTTGTACATCAGTTGATATAATCAGGTGATTTTTTTTCTTTACCCTGTTGATATACTGGATTACAGTGATTGAGCCAGCCTTTCATTCCTGGAACCAACCCCACTTGGTGATGGACTTACCCCTTTTTAAACGTTATATATTGTGTCCATATTTTTTTTTTTTTTTAAGATTTTATTTATTTATTTATTTTTTCCCCCAAAGCCCCAGTAGATAGTTGTATGTCATAGCTGCAGATCCTTCTAGTTGCTGTATGTGGGACACGGCCTCAGCATGGCCGGAGAAGCGGTGCGTCGGTGTGCGCCCGGGATCTGAACCCGGGCCACCAGCAGCGGAGCAAGCACTTAACTGCTAAGCCACGGGGCCAGCCCTATTGTGTCCATATTAAAGATACTTTGGATAGGACAAAATACTACCCTAAGACTCAGTGTAGTGTAATTCTTACGTGACAAGTAGAAGCTGAGACAGCATCACCTGCATATCTGGCTATAGAATAAATTCTACTCCAGCCCTTTTCCCAGGAAGAGTTGGGGAAAGGGCTGGAGAAGTGCTCTTGGCCTGGTCCCTGTGCAGCTCGGAGGGCCTCTGCGGTGGGCGTGGTGGGTGGTGGTGGTCCTTTGTCGTGATAGATCCTTCCTTTCCAGAGGAGCTCAGTCCGTGGGAAGGTGCCCTTTGTACTGCTTTGTTCAAGGCCACATTTATTTGACTTCTTATAAACAAAACTTGGAAATTAAACTTTTAGCATTGATTACAGACATAACAAATTTCCCTCAACCATTTAGATAGGAATTAACTTGAGTGATTTATTCTTTTGAATGTTACCCATAACATCAAACAAAATACATAAAAAGCCAATAATTACAAAATTAATTATAAACCTATTGAAAATTTCAGCATCATAGGGTTTAATTCACTTCTTTTCCTTGTCTTCTCAGGGTTATAGTAATCTTTCTAGATAGTTACTTCTGTACTTTGTTGCAGTGATAGTTTGCCATGTCCTCCTAAGATTACAGCATCACCTGCCTGGCTCTGGCTGCAGGTTCAGTGTGGTCACCACTTAACGACCACGAGTGTCTCCAAGTGACTGCTGCCGTGGAGCCCCGTGCGGAGCTGTTTTTATTCTTTTGTTAATATTATTTCTTAAGCTTCTCTGACTTCAGTGGAACTTCTTAAGGCATGTCTTCCTTGCACATGGGCTTAGCTTCTTGCAGCCTGGTGCAGCACCCCGAGTGTGCTCTTCAAGGTTTATTTGGCCAGAGATTTGGAACCATTACCTGTAATTATCATCCGTTGATCTTACATATTCCTGGGAACTGGAGTATGCCCTGATAGAACCTTATTTTAGTGCAGAAGGGGATAAGTTAGAGGCAGTGTTTCCGGAAGACGAAGAGGTGCGTCTGCGGGGTCCTCTCTCCTCCCAAGACCCTTGGCCACCTCATGCCCTGGGACCCTCATTGGGCCTCCCTGCTGTGTTGGGTCCTGCTGTCTATTTTCCCTGTGGTTGTGAGCAGGGGCCTAGGAGTGCTGGCCCAGATGCCGGCTCTGCCCCATCCTAGCTGTGTAATCCTGGGCTTCAGTCTCCCAGACGCTGCCTTGCGGCTCACTGTGTGAGTGAATCAGGCGACGTGAGTTGAGCGCTTGGATAGGGCCTGGCAGGGTGGGCCCGGGGCCTGGTGATGGGCCGTGGTTCTGCTTCTCATGGGTCATCCTGGTCTTGGTTAAGTGTCCACATTCCTGCAGCTCAGCCTGGTTTTCCTGTCCCTGCCCCTCCTTCCTACACAGATAGAGGGACGTCCATGTCCACAAGGAGTAGCACTACCTTTTTTTTTTTTTAATTTTTATTTATTTATTTTTCCCCCAAAGCCCCAGTAGATAGTTGTATGTCATAGCTGCACATCCTTCTAGTTGCTGTATGTGGGATGCGGCCTCTGCATGGCTGGAGAAGCGGTGCGTCGGTGCGCGCCCGGGATCCGAACCCGGGCTGCCAGCATCGGAGCGCACACACTTAACCGCTAAGCCACGGGGCCGGCCCAGCACTACCTTGTCTAGTGACATTTTCCTCTTGTTGAGTTGGAAATTAAGCATTTCTCGTCATCTTCACCCTGGTTTGTATCACAGCTATTTTTTATATGATTTGTCACCTTTTCCTTGATGGACTCTCTCTGCTCAGCCATCATTTGTTCCCGTATTTGTAATTATTTTCTTTTTGAGCTTGCATGCTTATAGCTTGGCTAACGGGCTCCTTTAAGTCCATCCTTTGCCCTTTTTTGGCAACAAGTTGTTCTAAGTCCAGGATGCGGGGGCAGTGCCGTTTCGGGTACCCTTGCTCTGATTTTGCAGATCCGAGGAGACTGGTTTGTTTTACTTTTCAGGGTAGCAGGGCGAGGCTGACGTGAGGCCTCTTAGTAACAGCTGAAAACTAGTCTTTTAATGATATTTCGTTTTACAGTTGTGAGTTCCCATCTGAGATTTCCAGTTTCACTCTGGTGTTGGTCTCACAGGACCTTGTGGGGGTTAAGTCGATTACAGGAGAGAAGCAGTCAGGGCAGCACCGGGCGCAGAGATGCTGCTCGGTGAGGTTGGCTGTTATTTTTTCTTTCGGACAGTTCTTATTGGAATAAGGAGGTAAATGTATCTATCTAGTTTTTTTCATACATTGAGCCAAAATCTGCCCTCTCATGTCTCTTACCAGTTTGTTCTGGTGTCTTTTCGTGCACTGCACAGCCTCTCTGTTCTCCGCCGTCAGACACTTGAAATCACATGGCCCCTCCTTGGCCAGTGGTCTCCGTCCCGCCTCCAGGCACCCGTCCCACCTGCTGGTCTCCATCCCCACACCCTACTGCTCTTGCATTCTTGACCTCACGCTTTTCCGTTTCCTCCAGAAGCCTTCCCAGATCCTTTCTATTTGACTCCTGAGTGGGGGCCCCAGGGTCTGGGGAGCCCTCCAGTTCTGTGGCTATAAGTGTTCACTGTGGGCTGACAAAGCCCAGGGTTCTCTGCCCAGACCAGCTGGTCCCTGAGCCCCAGCCTTGAACATGTGGCTGCCTGCTTGTCGTCTCCTCTTGGCCAGTAATAGTCCTGTGAATTCATTGAGGCACCTTTCGGGCACTGAGAGCCCTGACTGAGCAAAACCGAGTTTCTGTCGCTCCAGTTCTAGGACGAGAGGGACAGACCACGAGTGAAAGAGTAACACAAGGGCAGATGGTGCTGAGAGGGAGGGTAACAGCGGGAGACGCACGTGTTCTCTTGAGGAGGTGACGTCAAGCAGAGGTCTGAGTGAAGGGCTGTGTCCAGGTTTGGGGTATCACAGACAACGTTTCACGGACAAGAGTGTGTGTGGACACGTGCTCTCGTTTCTCTAAAGCGGACGCCTGGGAGTGGACGCACCTGGGCATATGGCAGCTGTGTGTTTAACATTTTAAGAAACTGCTGAACTGTTTTCCAAACTGGTTGTCCGTTTCCGTTCCCACCACCAGTGTGTGAGGGTTCCAGTTTCTCTGTGGTCTTACCAACACTTGGTATGGTCAGTTTTCTTACATTTTACCCCTTCTGGTTGGGTGTCAAGTGGTATCTCGTCGTAGTTTGAATTTGCTTTTCCCCGATGACTAATGATGTTGGGCATCTTTTCATGTGCTTATGCAATCCATATATCTTCTTTGGGGAAGTTGCCCAAAGTTGGGATCTTTTGCTTATGTACTAATTGCGTTGTTTGTTTTCTTACTGAGTTTTGACACTTCTTTGTATATTCTGGATGCAAGTCCTTTGTCACACATGTGTTTAACAAAGATTTTCGGTCAGTCTGCAGCTTGTATATTCATTTTCTTAGCAGTGTCTTATGAAGAGTACGAGATTTTAATTGTAATGTTCCGTTTGTCAAGTTTTTTTCTTTTATAGTTTGTGCTTTTTAAGAAAGATTTCTTTAAGAAATCTTTGCCAAACCCAAGACCACTAGAAATTCTCCAGTGCTTTCTTCTAGAAGTTTTATAGTTTTGATTCTTACATTTAGGTCTGTAATCCATTTTGAGTTAATCTTTGCATATGGTGTGAGGAAGGAGTTGAGCTTCGTTCTTTTAGACGTGGCTGCCAGGCTTCCCCAGAACTCTTTGGAGGAGGTAGTCCTCTTCCCCTTGAGTCACCTCGCACACCTGGTGAAAATCCACCGAGCGTGTCTGTGTGAGGGTGTAGTCCTGAATTCTGTGCTATTCCCTCCGTCTCGGTGTCTGTCACTGATGCTGGAGCTGTACAGGGTCGTGCTGTGACTCAGGAGGTGTTAGTCCTGTGGTGGTGTTCTTTTTCGGTTGTTTAGCTCGTCTAGGTCTTTTACATTTCCACACGAATTTTAGAATCAGCTTGTCATTTCTTGTAGAAAAGTCTGCTGGGGTTTTGTGTGTTGGATTTGGGTAGAATCTGCAAATCAGTTGGGGAGAACTGAGATCTTGACAGCATCAGGACCTGCAACCCAGGCACAGGGTACGTCTCTGTCTCTCTGTTTCCTTTGATCTCTGCCAGCCACTTTTTGTTGTTTTTCAGTGCACAGGTTTTGAACTTCTTTTCTTGTTTTATTGAGGTATAATTGACATATAACATATTAGTTTCAGGTGTACAACATCATGATTCATTTCGTATTTGTATATATTGCAAAATGATCACCACAGTAAGTCTAACATCCATCACCTCACAGTTACACAATTTTTCCTTGTGAACTTTTAAGATTTACCCACTTAGCAACTTTAACGTATATAGTATTATTAATTAAAGTCACCATGCTGTACGTTACGTCCCATGGTATTTATTTTATAACTAGAAGTAGGTTTTGCACTTCTTTTGTCAACTAAATGCTGTTATAAATGGTGTTTTTAAATTTCAATTTCTTACTCATTGCTAGCACACAGAAATACAATTGATTTTTGTATATTGAATTTGTCTCCTGCAACGTTGCTGATAAACTTGCTTATTAGATGTAGTCACTTTTTTGTAGATTCCTTATGATTATCTATATAGAAGATCATGTCGTCTGCATGTACAGTTTTACGTGTTCCTCTTTTGTTTTTGTTTCATTTTCCTGCCTTATTGCACTGGCCCGGCCTGCAGGACAGTATTGAAGAGGAGTGGTTATATCGGACATGTTTTTGTAGGTGCTGGTTTTCATTGAATTGTTCATATATTTGGATAAAACATCAATATTTCTCAAGCTAGAAGGATATCTATCCACTAGGGAGGTTGTCAGCCCTGGCTAAACATTAGAATCACCTGGGAAGATTTTGAACCACTGGTGCCTTTGGTCGAGGCTGGGTGTGGGAATTGGTATTTCTGAAGCTCTATAGGTGACAGTAAAGTGCAGCTGGGGGGATTCAGGGACCCCCATCACCTTTGACCTTAACATAGGGGGCCCAGACTTGTCTGTAGCTCCTAAACTTCCCTCAGCCCTCCTTGCTGTCACCCACATCTCTTCCTCTGGTGCCAGCATCTGCCTGGTCCTCAAGTTAGGAAGTGTTTTTCTTCAGTGAGAAAGAATGTTGGGCTTCATTGTAGGTGTTGTGGCCTCTGCTGGGGTGACCTTGTTTCCTTTGCTTCTTCTTGTGGTGACCTGAGTTGTGTGGCAGGTGACCCTGCTGGGTTCCATCTGGGGCGCCCCCTTCTCGGGTCTTGCTGAGCAAGAAGCTTGTCCTGTCCTTCTGTCCCCTTTGGCTTCCTGAGAAGGACGGCCAGGCCAGGTCGGCCACCGTCACCCTCCCTCAGCTGCTGCAGCGTGGTGGGTCTGTTGTCTCCGCCTCCCTCTCCCTCTCTCTCTCTCATCAGTCCGCAGTTTTCTTAGAAAATTACCTTTTGATCCAGGTTTTCCAGGTAGCGTTCTTTTTATCCTTCGACCTAAACTGGTTTATTCACTGTACTTTTTCTTCAGACTCTGCTCTTCTTTTTCCGTTTCTCAGTGTGCTGGTTTCTGCCTCTCTTTTGTCCGCTCATCTGCCTTTCTTGGGCTCGTTTTATTCCTTTTCTAGTTCTGCTTGAGTTAAATCTCGGCTCATGACTCTGTCCTCAGGACCTTCTGCGCATCCTGATGGGCTGGCAGAGACTGGCTCCATGTTCCCCTGGTTCCTGCCTTTTCCTCACCCCACGGGCCGTAAGTCGGTCAGGAGGAAGTTCAGTCATCCCGAGAGGTCGGAGAGTTTTGTTTTGTTTGTTTCTACTTTTGTCCTTACCTGTTTTATTGTATTATGGTCGGAAATCAGGTTCTCTACCTTTGCTCATTTTTGGAAGTTGAAGTTTTCTTTGAGGCTTAAATAGGTGAGTTTTGGTAAATGCTTCATTCGTGCTGGATTAAAAATGTAGGTTCTGTTTGCAGGAATGGAGCTCAGTGTTTGCCTGCTGGCCCACCTTCTTCCTTGTCTTCATCCACCTTTTCTGGACCGAGAGGCGTTTAAAGCCGCGCACCTGTGGTTCCCGTGGTTAATGTGCTGTGTTCCCGTCACAGCTGACCCTTCACCTGCTGTGTGAGGGCAAGGCCACAACACTAGCTTGGCGGTTCTTTTTCTGTTTGTTTCTTTTGTTTTCACTTATTTTATTGATGTCATAATGCTTTATAACATTGTGAAATTTCAGGTGTACATTATTATTTATCAATTTCTGTATAGACTGCATCATGCTCACCACCAATAGTCTAATTTTTATCTCTCACCATACATAGGTGCCCCTTTACCCCTTTTGCCCTCCCCCCATCCCCCTTCCCCTCTGGTCACTAATCTGTTCTCTTTGTCCATGCGTTTGTTTATCCACATATGACTGAGATCATATGGTGTTGTCTGTCTTTCTCTGTCTGGCTTATTTCGCTTAACATCATACCCTCAAGGTCCATCCATTGTGTTGCAAATGGGACGATTTTGTCTTCTTTTATTGCTGAGTAGTATTCCATTGAATATATATACCACATCTTCTTTATCCATTTATTTATCAGTGATGGGCACTTGGGTTGCTTCCACCTCTCGTCTATTGTGAGTAATGCTGTAACGAACATAGGGGTGCACAGATCTCTTTGTATTGTTGATTTCATGTTCTTTGGATAAATACCCAGCAGTGGAATAGCTGGA